TTTTTTAAAGCAATTTGCTTTTTTTATTGAATACTCAAGGACATGTATTATATTAGAATCTTAGATGTGGCATCATTTGTCTGTAAATTATTATTGTGCCATTTTATTTGCAATTATTAATAATTCAATATGTGTGCAAATTATTCCCTGCCATAAAAAGTCTTCCATTTCCAACGATATGCCTGATTGCAAATCATTTTATTCTAAAAAATTAATTAAGAAGATAACATTTTTAAGTGACCCATATTAAAATTTAACCACCTTACCTGTTCCCAGAATGGTGCACTCCAACTGGAATTGAGCACCTCCCCTTTTCCCAGAATGCTTCACTTCTATTCCTTCATCATATTTGAATAGTATCCTTTGATTGGTTTATTCTGAATATAATATACTCACCCCAGTAGTGCTAGACTATTACATAAGAATATATGATAGAAAGTTATGATTGCCTTGGATTCCTATACTTTACCAGCATGCTAGTCCAGTCCTATGTCTACTGGTCATTTCACTCTTTGTATGAAGCCTTCACCAATCTTCCAAACTTACTGACCTTAATATTTCCATTCATACCATCTATCACATTACCAACTACACTGTTTGAAATGTGGTCGCATGCATCTCATTCAACTTGTGTGTGTACAGTCACTTATCAATGACTTATCCAGCACATTTATGCACCAAAATCATACACACATGGCATACTGTAAAAGGGTTAATTATTCACTGGGTTTTAATTTTGCTCATTTCGCTGACTGAAAAACGCGCTAAATTAACACCCAGTGAATATGTAAAATTGAGCATGGAACCAATTACCTAAATGATAAAACCGTAAATTTAAAACCCGCTGAATATCCCTGAAATGCTAAATCAGTGAAATTTAGTCATTTTACAGTAAATTCCACACTCGATGTTCTCTAAATATCAAATTAATGCAGAGAGAGAAGGAAAGCTGTTATTAGTACATAATGTTTGAAATATAAATTTATACTATTACAATTATTTAGGCTGTATACAAAAGTGTTGTTTACCGACAAAAAAGCAAAAACAATTATTATTCTGCTTCATACCTGGTAATTGTGTAGTTGATTCAAACTTATATTAAAATTGTAACTGAGCAGTTTTCATTCAAACTTGACATTCACAGTGAATTACTGTTTCCAGTGTCTGACTTTGCTATGCAGAACATAAGAGACCTCTGTTAGAATCTCTATAAATGTCTTTAACACTTCATGATATGACTACCAGGGCATATATGGAATATGTGGTCAATTTCAGCATTCAATAGTAAATGGCTCATACCTAGTCATTACCTAGCCTGTCGTGGTCTGTGTGATTGTGTCCTTGCTGACAGGCTCTGGTTACCGTACATTTTTAAAATGAATAACAGTTCTGGATATATGTAAAAAAAAAAATATTCAGGAGGACACTAAGTAATATATGCTTAACATAACATAACACAAAATATGCATCTTCCGTCACTGAACCCCCATTGTTGTGCTCCCTAGTGGTGTTGATCTTCTTAGTATGGCTTCAAATGAAGAGTGAAATGGCTCCCTATTTTTGTGGTGTTGATTTGAATTTTTAACAAATGTAAAAAGTTGTTTGTGCTTGAAGCATTATTGGAACATTCCATTAAACGTGGCATGGGCTGCGTTTTTGTCATTTTTTCCCCCACATATTTTTAATTCATGTAATCGTGAGCCAAAATTTGTGCTTCCCTACATGTGGTAAACTGTTAGGAGGTCCATACTGTATATGTCTACGTGTAATCAATGACTGGAAAATTAATTTCACATATTTATTTTCCAGTTATTTGCATGTATTATGTGGTACTATCCTATAGTTAATTTATTTTGTGAACTAAAAACATGACAAAAATGCTGTGCATGCCCTTGAACCTGTTTATTTGAATAAATTGTATGTAGATTTTTTTATACCAATGTGTTTGTTTTCCCATTTTTTAAAGTTATTACCTTGCCCGTACTATCAAAGATGGAAGGGAAAGGTATATTAAGGGAAAACATTTTGTCCAGCGTTGTCGTCGTTGTCAATAATTGCTATTGTGTGCACAATAACTTTACTAATTCTGTTCCAAACTTCATCAAACTTGGTCACCTTATTCATCAGTATAAAGTCTTCCCTGAGTTTGAACAACAGAGGTCCTGTATGAAAATATCATTCAAAAATTGAGAAAATCTGATAAAATATTTTGACTGTTTCTCCTTGACTGATCACTGGTGATATGCATCAAAGATCACTGATCTCAGCGGAAATATGCATTGTTGTATGTGTTTAATGAAGCAAATCATTTATCTTGTAATAATATCCTTGGTAATGTATCTTCCAAATTCCATGGGAATACTATACTGGGTTTCAAAACCAACTCATGGAGAGAATTTTGGCACAGTATGATACACATTTGCAATCCTACCAATAAAATCTTAACAGAAAACAAGATGTCAGAAAATCAATATAAGCACTCCTATGAACTGGGTGCCAAACTTTGATCAAGATCTGAAGCTTATAACAAATCTGTTTAATTCAAAGTTATCAAATCAAAAACAATACATAAAAAGAAAAATGTTGCATCCACATTTTGAAAAGAAAATTGTACTAAAATATATGTATTCTGTATTTGACAAACAGTTCATTTGACAAATGAAAATTCACAGGAATTTGTTTCAGCTATAAGAACAGAATGATATAGCTTTTATAATACTAATTTAAAAACGCACTTCAAAAACAAAGATTGCAGTGTTTGAAGATGTAGATTCTCAGGAGGCAACAGTACTGTTGACTTTTCTCTCCACTGGACACCAACTAACTGCTACCGTATTTATCCGGGTATAAAAGCCCAGGGTCCT